TTTGGTTGAAATGGGTAGAACAAACTTGTCATCTGCGAAGTCTTCGCCGCATTATCCTGTTGACTTGGGAACCCCCACTTTGGCTACCCCTTCCGCTTCAGACAACGCAGCTTCTCTATAAAACTTCAGCTTTTGGCTGATAACTGTCCCCTTACAACTTTTGCAGGGGAGAAAACCTAAGGTTCAAAGTTATTTCAAATGAGTAACAAAAATACGCGGCTCCCAAAAATGCCAGCGAAAACAAAAATGACATGCGTTCAATGAATGACTGCGTCCTCACATTTCACCTTCTGCGGCAGATGAAGCAGTTAGAGGGGTCAAAGTGAAAGCATGTTGCTAAAACCAGGCTCCTGTTGGCAAAACACGACGACTCCTTTTTTCTAGGGCTTCTTAGAACATTACGTCGACAGTTTTCGCAAGTTGAGAAGAGAAAAATATGCCAAGCAATAATCTGACTTTTATCTCCGTCCACAACTTATCTAAGCAACTCTGCTGCAAAAAGGAAAGGCATTTTTCATTATTTCTCAAATTTCATTGTGCGCCTTGCGCCATTTGAAAAAATCCAAAAGAGGCTGAATTTCGTGCCAGACTGTACCAACATCCGCAGCGTGCCTCCAAGCTGAACAGTCTCTAGTCGACAAAATGATGTAGATAAAGAAAGTCGGCAAATTTGATCTATTTTCACGATAGAGCTTACAGTGGCCGATCCAGTAACGAAACTGAACATTACCCGACATCGACAGCTCTTGCATTACACGGGTGATTCCGGATAATTAGGAAACAAGAAAAAATGCCAAAACCGATCGGAAAACGAGAGAGATCCTTGTCAGTGATATCAGAGGGATGCCCCATATGTCGCATGCAAATGTTTCTGAGTGCGCACTTTTCACAAAAATTGAAAAAAAAACCACACACTGACCATATTTTTCCGGAAAAACTGCAAGTTGCACTGAAGATTGTGAAAGAGGCCGCCAACCATGGCTGCTAGATGGATCACATGCGTCGGCTTGTGCTTTTCAAAAAGCTGTCGTGTAGCCTCTGCATCCATTAAATTGCAGTCTTTTTGGCCGATGAAAATCCATTTCTCGTTCGGACGTGCTTCTTCCGCTTCCACTATCTAGGAAAAAATGCAGTCCATTTAAAATGCGACCGAGAAATGTGAGTATAAGACCAAGGATATCAAAATTATTAGTGTAGAATTCTTGTTAGTGATGTTACTAGGAAGCCGCCAAACGGCGAGTGCAGCTATGCCAGGCCCTTCTGTAATAAACAGTTTAGTATAATATGTAAAGAATTAACTAAACGGGTATGCATATGATCTTTTGGAGCGGAATCTGGAACATTTCTTCACGTTTTTCAGTTTTCATATTCCTAATTCAAACAATTCGATATGCATGTGACACTAGAAACACTGCTGGCTTTTTTGACAACAGTTTTCATAACTCACATCGGCATGTAAGTGCCTTACAGGAATCAATTTCAGCAGTCTTCTCCTCTCTCTCTCACCTCTTTTAAACTACTCTTAATTTTAAAAAAATTTTTAAATTTCCCGGCAAGCACCATAAAAGAGGGCAAATTAGTAGTCGCATGTTTAGCTCCCGAAAAAATGCTGCATATCCGGAATTTGGTGCTTCCCACTCAATTTTAAGCGACTTTTACTATTAGCATTTTCTAGCACTTTAACCTAAAGTTAAGTTTCCCACAGTCCATGCCGTCACTATTTATCCCTTCTGTTCCCAATCTTTCCTGGTACAAGGTGGCAGGGGAGGCTTATGGTCGTGCTTTACAGCTAACATGTGAAGTGATATTGGGCGTTTTTAGCCTTATCTTGCATGCAGGGGCAAAAGGTCGACTGGAGGCTGTAGTGCGAAACCATTGGAACGGCTTAAATCTTAAGCTCCAGCATGCCTAATTACCATAAATGATCAGAGCTACCCCTAATAAGAAGTTTTTTCAGGCCGGTTCACTTGACAGCATTACGTTCAATCACAATATATCTCTGGAAATCGCTGCCTCTACTGTAGGATTCAAGCTGCAATTTAGCCCAGCACCTAAAATGCGTTGCATGGTGGACGACTCTGTGTAAGTGGCGAAATTGCCGAGGATATTGCGATGCGGGAAAATTCGTGGGAAGAACGTGCTCCAGGTGCAGGTCGGGACCTTCCATTCTGAGCTGTTCCACGTTTCTTATGTGAACTTTTATTGGAGCATATGTTTGTTCGAAGTGAGTGCCACAAGTGCTCTGTCTGAGTTTTGAGAAGCACGGCAGTGTGCAGCTCCATATAATTGCGAAAACCAATTTTGCAGTTCTGGGAAAGTGTGACTAGTTGCTGTGGCACAACATCAAGCAGCACTGCTGCCAGTCGAGAAAAGTTACTGGGACAATTAATCCCTCTACGATTCATTCATTTGTTACCATGCCAAACTGGCACTGCGCTTGCACCGGCAGCTCGTCATCAGTTTGCTCCCAAGGAACTTTCGGAGCCACGCAGAGCCCCGTCAGCGGATATTTACTGTTCGCACGTGCAACCACACGGCATACATCTGAGTGATCTCGTCTCTGAGCACAGGCCACAGGGTGGGGGTTTCTCGGAAAAAACACCGCAGCAACTTCTCCCATCCACAACACCCAGATGACCTGTTAAGATTAATCTCAATGATAGTGATGCATCGAAACCGATACTTTTTCAATGGCGCGTCCAACCAGACCGGTACCTCCAGTGACCAGGATGACAGTCTCACCGCCCATGCTTCCCGCTCTTCTTCCACAAACAACCTGAAAAATTCAATTAGCACAGCCCCTCACCAACGGTCCCGCGCAATTGCCTGTTCTTCCATCAGCAAATCCAGACAAAACTGCACCTAATCTGTGGGGGCAACAAAAACTTGCTGCTTTCTTTAGCAGGCAGTAAATTTTAGTCTGTTTCATATTACTGCATGCTCCCCTTCCCTTTGTAACTTCTAAGATACCCACCCACTCAGCCCCTACGCACAAAGCTCCCTCAACGAAGTGACGCATCAATCGACATGCGTAGCGAAAGCGCACGGCTGGGCGGATCTTTGTAATAGAGATATTAATCATGAAATGTATATATGTATTAAAATATAAAATTATATTAAACAGCAACGCGCACCGGACTAGCCGGTGCGATCATGCGTTTTGTGCAATTCAGCCCATCGAACGATTG